CCTAAGTCAAAACTGACTTGATGAAACAAAATTTTTATTATTTGGTCATGTTATTTATATATGACCATATATATATACTGAGTCCATTACTTTGTCCTCTGCATTTCCTCCTTCCGACGTCTTTCCTTGTTCATGCTCTTCCCCATTTTCCTTTTTTTATTTGCATCTATGTTTAAAACATTTTTTAAAAAAATCAGAATCAAAAATAATATCCAAAGTCTGAAATGCTCTACCATCACACTATCCTCCCTTGACAGGTTTTTCTGTTTGCTTTGTAGATCTCACCCTCTTCTGGGAAATCTGGGTGGGTGGGTCGATTCAAAGGGAGAGTTTGTCAGCAGCTAGAAAAGGGTGTGTCCCTAGTAGGGCTGATATAACCAGAACACCAGTGGGAGGCACTTGTCTTCTGAATTTACAAGGCTGGGTGGATTGGCATTTACTGGACACTGCCCAAGGTTTGTCAGTACCTTATCTGGGGCTAGGCATATGGCTTGCACTGACTTTTCTGATTATTCTATCCAGACACTCCTTAGAAACCCAGAAGTCAGAGGAGTTGCTGATAGTAGCCTGGGTGTGGGGTTTTAAGAGAAAGGTGGAGAAGGACATCGAGAAACCCAACATATTTGAAAAGGTTTTTTGAAAAGCTTTTATTTCATACATTCAGTTTCCACAGTCAAACTGCAGCCTCATCCCACTCAACAACATGAGGGTTGCTACCCATTCACCGTTTGAAGGGGCTGTTCCTATTTTAGGAGTTTTATCAAGTTAATGACAGGGGAACTGACCAGTAGGAATCTGGACTTTGAACAGCAGATGGAAATAAACTTCTCCATTCAACAACACGGGGGTTAGTTAGGGGTGCTGAGCCCCCGTGTAGTTCAAAATCTGTGTATAGCTCTTATGCCCTCTAAAACGTGACTAAAAAGCATAAACAGTTGGTCATCATACACACACAAACAAACACCTTCCCCAACCCATGTCAGCCTCCTGGCATGCCCCAGCATCCTCCTCAGGTGCCCTGGGGAGCTGCCATGATAGGGGAGGGGGCCAGCCAGGCCCCCGCCATCAGACTGGGGCCCACCACGTCACCAACAACAGGGCCGTTACAGGGTATGCCTGTATTCAAAAGCAGAACTAATCAGCTTTCTAGCTATAGACAAATACAAGAAACATGAGATTCTTCTTCTGCCATTAGGAAATCATGGGGCCAGCTACAATACATCATAAGAACATAAGAGAAGCCCTACTGGATCAGGCCAAGGGCCCATCTAGTCCAGCCTCCTGTATCTCACAGGGGTCCCACCAGAGGCCTCTGGAAGCACACGAGACAACCAGATCCCTGTCTCCTGATCCCCATCCCCTGCATCTGGCATTTTGGAGGTACCTTCCTTCAAAGCCTGGAGATTATACATCCCCATCATGGCTTGTCACCTGCGATGGACTTTTCCTCCAGGAATCTGTCCAATCCCCTTTTCAAGGCCTCTAGGCCAGATGCCATCACCACATCCTGTGGCAAGGAGTTCCACAAACTAACAACATGCTGGGTAAAGATTTTCTTTGGTCTGTTCTCACTCTCCCGACACTCAATGTGAGTGGATGTCCCCTGGTTCTAGTATTGCGTGAGAGGGGAAAGAGCTTCCCTCTATTCACTTTATTTACCCCCTGCATCATTTTATATGTCTCAATCATGTCCCCCCCTCAGGGATCTTTTCTCTAGACTCAAGAACCCCAAATGCTGTAGCTTTCCCTCATAAGGGAGGCGCTCCAGCCCCGTCATCATTTGAGTCACTCTCTTCTGCACCTTTTCCAGTTCCACTCTGTCTTTTTGAGGTGTGCCAACCAGAACTGTATGCAATAGTCCAGGTTACCAGCCTTTTGTACAATGGCATTAGAATGTTATTGTATAATACATCAGTATTTCATGTTACATTAATCATTACGTGTCATCAAGTGAGCACTATCTTATAGTGTCCCAATAGAGTTTTCAAGGTAAGTAAAGTATTTAAGGAGTGGTTTTACTGGTTCCAGCCCCCATCCCAGCAAATTTGAACCCAGATCTATTGAGTCCTAGTCTGTCACTCTGTCCACTACACCACACTGAGTACATTACCTTATTTTTTTCTCCACCTTAATCAAATTTAATTATTTACTAATCATCAAGATCTTGGAAGTAATGCACTAACATTAATTACATTACTTTTAATGTATTACTTTTTCGAGTAATTAGGGGGCAACATTGTTACATTGTAATGTTCTATAAAGAATGACACAAATGATTCCAATTTTTGCATAATGTTTGCTCGTTGCAAACAAACCTCATTTTTGGGGAGGGTGGATAGCCATTTGGGGCATATTTTTAGAGATTTTTTATTTTTTAAAAATAACATTGACAATAATGGATTCGTCATGTCCCACATTACTTGCTGTCTGTATATAATGAACAATGAATAAACAATTACTCATAAAAATATTTTTAAGGTTCTCCCATAACACCTCCCTGCAGGTTAAAACAAATCTGAGTCAGATTTCCAGGTTCTGCCTCCATTTAACTTAACACTAGTTTAGTGCCATTTGTCCTGTTTTGCAACGTGGTAGATGGGTGGTAGAGTTCTCAGGGACATGCCAGTTCAATACATGCAGCAGGATTCTGGAAGCCCGATTTTAAGGCAGAACATAAAAGGGCATGTCATCTGGAGACGATGGGAATAGTCATTCTCCCAAACTCTCCAGGTGAAAACATAGGACTGGCTTGAACAGAAAGAGATGGTAGAATTCTGAGCTGTACAACAGACCATACAATGTCGGGCAGCAATTTGAGAAAAAAACCTTTTAAAAGCTCTCCCATATTTTGAAACTCCCTACAGAGTTTTTTTTTAAAAAGAAGAAAAACAAATCCATAAATCATCATTAGAGATGAGCAGAAATCAGGAAGTTCGTCAAAATTCACTAATTTGTTGATTTGGATCAGTTCTGGTTTGTCCAAACTGGAGATCCTGAACTTTCTCAAGCCAACGAACTTTCTTGCATTTTAACTAACTTCCCTGGCTCATTCCCCCCCTCCCGGAGCCGGTCCCCCACTCCCTTCTGAGTGCCCTGTCCCTCCCCACTGACCCCACCATCTTCCCTTCTGCCTCCACCATCTTGAGGGGCATGGTCTTGCCTCTCAGCTTATTTATTTATGATTTTTTAAGGAAACCGGCCAAGCTGCCTCTCCGTTGAGAGGTGGAGGTATGCTCAGAGTCTGCCAACCTGCGGGAGCCAGCTGACTCTTAAGATGGGGGCTGTGGAGGAGTAAGTGGTGTCAGGAAAAGGTAGGGAGGTAATGGGGGGCAGCGACCCCTCTTTTTTAGTCAGTCACTGGGCTGTCTAAAAAAAATCTGGAACAAACGAATGACTGGACTCATGCTTTATTCAGGGAAATTCGTAAATTTGTGATTTGTGGTTTGTGGGCTTCTACGAACCAAGATGATCCACCATTTTGCTGGTTTGTGCCCATCTCTAGCCATCATTTATCAAGCTCATATGTCCACCTCCTCCTGCTACCCTAGCTTTCTGGTTGAGGAGAGTTGTTTATATAGGGACATAGTTAGAAACATGATCTACAGTCTGCAGTGACACAGCCTCATGTCTCACTTCAGAACTGTACCACTTCACTATGCTGTATGAGACCCTGTGTGTTATAGCAGTTAGAGTACACCCAGGTTGAAATCTCTGCCTCTGCCATGATACTTGTGAGATGTTTAGGAGCAAGTCACTGCCTTAGTTTAGCTTCCCCTGTCAATGTGAAATGCTGGGGGGATGTTTGTTTGTCAGAGATCCTTAAAGGAAAGGTGGAAGGATGATAAAATAATAATATCCATATATAAATGTAATAGGGTATATCATCTGGGGATAATGGGAGTCTTAATCCAGTACAACTGGAGAGCACCAGATTAGAGAAATATGTTCTGGAATGTCATAGAACCAATACCAACGAATATTCAGAGGTATTTTGGCCTCTGGGCAGATAAAGCACAGGAAACTTCTGTTATATTCAGAATACACCTATGCAGTTCAGTTGATACAGAGATATGTGGAGCTCTGCTCTTTTATTTCAAATGAGAGTGTGTTGAAATAGGATTGTGCAAGAGAGAAACCCAAATTTATTTACATTTTACATTACAATGTTGGCAGGCTTGGTTATTGAACTTACACAGCAGGTGTTTATTATAGTGTCCATGTAGATTGGGCTCCTGTTGACTAGCATGTTTTGATTTTGCGTATGAGAGCACCAACTTGATATCCTGCCCTCTATCCAGGAAATGATCAAATGAGATTCTCTTGTGCTCAAGTGAGGTTCTGTAGTGACTTGCTTAGCTATACTGTATTTTAGTACGTATATTACGTTTTTTTTTAAATGTGTAATTTCTTTCCACTTCCTTGATGAGCTGCTTTGGCAGTCCTTTCCCAGTTTTGGCAGAAGGTCAAAAATACAGATCAAATCAAGCCGTTGATAAAATGAGATTATCGGTACACCAAATCTCTGCACTTTACGATAGGATAATGGAAGAGCGACAACTTCAGTTTTGCATGGTGTGGGTGTGAATGCGTGGGTGTGGGTGAATGAAATCTCTCTCTCTCTCTCTTTCTCTCTCACTGAGATTTCCCATGATCATCCATTGGCACAATCTCAAATTTGCAAGGTAAGAATGCCTGCTCGGGAGCTTTTAGAAGTTAAGATACAACTTGTAAGCAAGGGCAGAGCTCTCTTTAGAGTGCTTCAGTCTGGCCGAGGACCTGCTTTTGTTTAAGAAGAAGAAGGAAAGAACGTCTTTCGAAAGAGCACAGCTATGTGGGAAGAGCAGAGCATCAAAATAGGGTGCTGACTTGATCCATATGCCATCAAGCCCTTGAGTACAGGTGGATAGCCAGGGCTGGGTGCCAGATTCTCTTGGTTTACAGGGAGCGGTGGGAGGGAATCCTTCCAACCGCTCCTAGAAGGGCTTAACTTTTCCTCTTTCAAGTAGGGGACAAGCTACTGCACACTATTCCAGATGCTCGTGGAGAATGCTTCCCCCCCAATGTTATATTAACAGAAAGCTGCACATTTTATGAACGTACACACTCAGGAAAAAGCGTTGGAGAGGTAAGTTGAGCTTTCTCCTTTCCCTTGCTGTGCTGTTTTCCTTAAGGAGTGCTTGGCGTTTAATTCTCTCTTGATGCTTGCAAGTTTATTTAATCACGAGGAAGCATCCTGTCTCCGTTTTACGTTTGGAGGGTAATTTGGTTAATTTAAAAAATAATGACTGTGTGCCGTTGTGGGTTTCAGTTTGCTGTTCTCTTTTACGATCTATGACAGTCAACATGTTTTGCTAATTGCTGTTCAAAGGAGAAACTCTTGATTCTAGTTTTTACAAGATGTGCTTCTCGAACCCTTCCGGAACGTTAGCATTTTGTCTGGGCTTAAACCCTATGTATATGAGAAAATCTGAAGTTGTACTCCCCCCCCCCCAGTTGAATATGAGAATTTACTTCATTTTTTTAATTCTTTGGCTGGGGAAATGTTGCACTGAAGTATATATTAGCTTCAGATAATGGTTTATGGTGCTGGTTGGATTTTTGCGTATGCCAACTGAATTTACAAGATCCTTGTTTTCAGTTTTCAGTTAATCTTCTTCCACCCAAGGTTAGGTTGCTGGGGCTGATTGACCCTTTACGTTTCCTGCTGAAATATTAATTAGCAACCATGGTGAGCAAGCTTTAGCTAGAGTTTAATGCTGCTTGATAATTCAGCTTGGTGCTGTATTTCTAGGGGTGCTGACATCAGATGATCCTTGGTTGTGTTTTTTTTTGGAGGTCTATGATTATTTATGGAAAATAAGAAATGACATTACAACTGTATGAACTGTACTGTGAAATTCTGGCTGAAATAACCTATGAATGCATTTGGAGAACTTTTGGGGGTCTTTCTTTACAAATGAGATCCACAGGGTTTTTTTTAAAGAGGAAAATACTTAGGTGTCTTCACTTCTCTGGTTTTACTATGACTCCAGCATAGAAATAGCATCTTTGAGGTCAGTGGCAGCTATGCGTGTACAGGATCATGACCTGAAACATAAGCTGGAATACCCTGTGAAGGGCTTTGGGGAATTTTTTTGTTGGGTGAGGGTCTTTTACAAATCGGATCCTCGGAAACAAACAAAAAAAAATCTCAATCCTGCACTGTTTCTTGTTTCAAGTTGTAACCTCATGATACGTACTTTGAAATACGTGCTACTGAGCACAGTGCCCAGATATGCGTGGACAGGATTTCAACCTCAGCTCCCTTTTCAGAAGAGAGCCCAACATTTTTCAAATGCATCATGGCAAAGGTGACACTTAATTGTGTGTGAACAGGCAACAGGAGATACAGTACTGTATATACTAGCTAATCTGTTAATATCGCTTCTGATAGGTGAGGTTTGAGCAGCTGAGATGACCCCAGAATAAATTCTGTTTCCCTTTTTCTTCAGTATAATATCTAGAGAATATTTTTTGCGTTCTTGAAATTTTTTTTCTGTATACTTGTAATTTTGGAGAATCAGCTGTCTTGTGAATATCTATTAGTTCATTATTCTTCTAAATAAGATATAATCTGTTTACTTAGATATTTATCATGTTCTAAACCTTCCTCTGTGCACAACTTTCAGATCAGTGTACATGAGGTTATTTAAGACAGACTAGAAATCAGGTGGAAAATGTTGCTAGGGAGCAAAATCATCACCACCCTCTTGAGAATTTTTGCTGGTCTCATCGGAACTTCTGCAGTTTTCCTCAGAATTCCTCATATGTTTTGCGGTAAAGAAATAACTTCAATAAAAGTAAAAAAAAATTGCATTATACACATCGTATATGTTTATTTTATTTATGTTGTGAACTGCCCAGAATAGTGCATTGCACTAATGGTGCTTTAATTAATTAATTATTTA